GATGCACTTGGGGGTTTTGAACCACAGCTGTAGTAGCTCAAGTAGTTAAAAACAGTTTACCCTTACATTTGAGACATTTAAGAAGAAAAAAAAAACACTAGCAGCATAAGTAACTTCATGCATGTCAATGTGACATGATACAAAATACACTAAATTTGGGCTTCTAAGTATGAGTTTAAGGCTTAGTTTGGTATTGCTGTGCTTTTTAAAAAAACTGCTTCTGCTGTGCTGTGAAAATAAACAGCTGTGAAGTGAAGCAGCAAAGTGTTTGGTAATCTATATTTGTAAAAGTGCTGTGAGTATAAAAAGCAGTCTTATAATGTTTGGTAAACTTTTTTATAGAAGTGCTGTGAGAGTGTATAATGACAATAAAGGGCACCATGATGAATTTTTTTTAAAAACCTAAAATTATCATAAGAAATAAAAAATGTATACTTTTTTCTCCCTTTTGTTTCCTCCTTTCTTCTTCCTTTCCAGGCCCCATTCCCTTTTTTTTTCTTTCTCCCTCGTCTGCTTTCTCTTTTCTTCTTCCTTCAGGGGCCCCAATTTTTTTTTTCCTCTCCCTCTTCTCTCCTTCCTCCTTTCTTCTTCCTCTGTTTTTTTCTTTCGTCATCTTCCTCATCCAAAATCTTCAAGACAAAACTTGTTTTTGTTGTGATTTCATACAAATTCTTGTTATAAAGACACCCGTCCCAGTTTTTTTCTTTTCTTCCTCTTTTCCTCTTCCTTCCCAGGCCCCCCATCTCTCAACCTTTTTACCTTTCCTCTTCTCCTCCTTTCTCTTTTCTTCTTCCTTCCAAGACTTCTTCCCTTCCCATGTTTTTTTTTTATTTCTTCCTCTTTACTTCTACCTTCCCAGCAACCCCCGCCCTCTTTTTTTTTAATTTTATAAATTTCTTCGTCTTTTCTTCTACATGCCCACCTCTTGGGGATTTGATTTTCTTTTGCTGAATGAAATAATTGGTTGGTAATCTGGGTGTTGAATTTTTTGTTGCCGTAGAGATAATTGGTTGGTAATCTGGGTGCTGAAGGAGATCTTCTAGGTTTGTAAAATAGGAAGCTGGGTTGGTGGGGTTTTGGGTTGAGTTGGTAGCTTTGAGGGATTGAGGAAGGGAAAAAGTTGCAGAGAGAGGATGATATTCTGGGTCTGTAAAATAGGGAGGTGGGTTGGTGAGGTTTTGGGTTGAGATGGTAGCTTTGACGGATTGAGGAAGGGGAGCAAGTTGCAGAGAGAGGAGAGGATGAGGCGAGCAATCCAGAAAATAAAAAAGGAACGACACTTGGGAGGTTCGAACTCGGGATGATGAGGATATAACATGTAATTGTGTGAAACAAATAAGGGCAATATGGGCAATTTGAAATTTTCATTTAAACCTCCGCATGCTTCTCCTCGCAGCAGTTTTCAGAAGCAGCTCCCCACCTGCTTCTGTTTTTCAGCTTTGAATGACAGCAACTTATTAAATAAGCAGCTTATTTTTGTTTTACCAAACACCCAAATCTCCAAAACTTTTTTTTAAAGCTGCTTATTTTTTAAGTTAAGCAATACCAAACTAAGCCTAAGAATGGGCTTAATCTTATTGCATGTGATAGTTGTACCCAAGCAAAATCAGAAAATTTGGACCCAAAAAGAAAACATCTGAAAAAAATGCCATGATCTAGAACTATTGCATTGCATTGCACACCTCAATATTTTATGCCAAGGTATCCTAAAATTGTAGAGGTTTTTATTTTTCATATTTCTTAATTTATTATTATTATTATTTTATAAAATCTTTATAAATATTTTATTGTAATTAAGGATACAAGTGTGTTGTGCCATATTATTATTTAACGGATTTTTCAACCGTCTACCAGAAGAACCACATTACTAAAATTTCAAAAGAATTGAATACTTAGTTTTTAATATTGAAAATATGAGTAAAGGTTTATGATACTAAACTAAAATTTATCTAAAAATAAAGGGTTTTTAACTGTAGACGTCCTTGAACTTTACCTCGAGTTGCAATTGGGTCCCTTGTAACACCCCTGGCCTAATTTAATTGTTTTGTTCAAATTATGTAATTGTGAAATTACAATTTTTCTCTCGGGATGTAGGGTCACTTTGGTCACTTTTTGGATTCGGAATGATTTTGGGGAAATGAGTGGCACCATTGCATAGAGCTCGTTGATACGAGTTTGTAGACATGTGGCACGCCCAATTCCGAGTTGTAACGAAGGAGGAAAGGTCTGAAAACGAAAAGGACGCAAAGGAAATTTTCAAATTTTTAAATTTTGTTTTCTTTATCTCCTTCTTCCTCCCACTCCCTTCGCAAGAAATAGCCCCTTTGTTACTATTCACCCGCCTGGTTTTTGGGCCACCATGGTCATGTCCTGCCACCAAATTCGGCGGGACCGGTACCAGTACCAAAACGTCAAGTTCGACTTCCTCTTCCTGCCTCACCCCTCTGCTGCCGCCACCGCTGTCTCTAGTCGTTGGAAAAAGCAGAAAACGGTCCGATTTTTACGTAAAGTTTACAACGTTCGTTCCTGTGATTCCGACCACCAATTTCTTCGATCTATGTATGCTTTCTCATCCTCTCAAAGTGTTCTAGTTGTTGGTTGGGTTGTTTAGTATTAATTTATGTGTTTTGAAACAAATTTTAGCGATTAAAGATTTGGCCAGTTTCAGCTCGCATTTCCGGCCACCTCCGGTCATTTTCCAATTGCCGGAATCGCTTTGGACACCCACGCCCTGCCGGCACGTGGGCCATTTAGTGGCTGACCTATGGGTCCTAAAATGATCCCCATATTGTCCCGATATGCTCATATTTGAATTTGGTTATCGTTTGATCGTCGATCGGATATTGCACATTAGGCGTTATCGGGGTTTGATATGTTCAGATTGTTGGATCGACTCCAATTTAAAATATGTTGATCTAGGCATCTCTAGGATCGTGTAGGAATTCACGAATCGTGAATTGGAGTCCCGGATACTCCGATTCAATGACTTAAAGTTGCGTTAAATGTTAACCGTCCGATCTCGAGCAATCCAACCGTTCGATTCGAACCAAACTTACAGGACTAGAATAGTAGACCTTATTGAACCCGTAGGAACTTTCTAATCGGAAATCGGAGGTCATGGACCCAACGGGCCTAGTTGACCAAGTTTGGGCAACTTGACCTCTCGGTTGACCGTGAGTCTTCCGAGGTAGTTTCACGAGGAGTACTAGAACGACCTTATCAACGCATCTTGACCGTTATTTGAGTTATGTTGACTATGTTGGGATTTTGAGATGGTTTATAATATCGTATGAATTCTTGGATTATTAGTTTGATAATTGAAGTTGTGGAATGGTTGAGTATGAGATATTTGATCGATGGGTTATGAAAACGAGTCTTGGGTCTCGGCTATGACTATTAGTAAATAAATGGATGTATGTTTTTAAGTGTACTTCATTTTTCTAATATGGAATTTCTTGCATAATGAGTTTTGGGATTGAAAATTTATTTAATATGGTGAATGAGGATATGGGATCTCTAAAGGTTATTATTTATCATTAATTAATATTATTATGATTATTATTAAAGTATACGGTTTGGGTGATATTGGGTTATTTACGAAAGTCTATTGTTTTAATTATGGAATATAGTATTTTATGGAAGATAAGTGTAAACAAGTTTTGATTACTATTTGAATTATTTTGGGGGTTTATGGAATATAGACTTGAGAGTTTATTTTCTATACTAGGAATAAATATTTGGAAAAATTGGATTAAGGAAGGGAATATTATCTTGATAATATATATATATAGGAGGTTATAAAAACGGGCTATTGGTTCGGTCTCGGCCTGTTTCCTGTGACACGAGACTTCTCGTTTATATTTTGTTATTATTAATATTATTATCATTATTATTATTATTATTATTATTACTATTATTATTAGTGCCATTAATATTATTTATAAAGGATTATGTGACTTGTGTAAGATACGGTGTTTTGGATTTTATTATCTTGTCTTAGGGGATTTTCAGAGAGTGTTTATTCCTAAGTTTTTTAGTAGTGTTTTGAATATTAATAAAATCAAAATGGTTTACTTAGGTTTGGAAATGGGTATTACAGTTAATGAGGCTTATAATTAATTTGAATATGGATTATATGTGTTGAGGAATTGTTATTCACTCTATGATGAAGTAATTGGGCAAAAGATTTATATGAGTTAAGATATCTTGTGATGGTGATGTGAATATGTGTGTGTATATATATATATATATAGTATGTCGCGCAACTATACTATACTTAAAAATAAAAAAATTGTATCGCCGCGCGGCTATACTATTTAAATGTTCGAATATATTTAAAACGCATAGCCGTGCCGCTACTCTTAAAAATAAAAAATAAAAATATTCTAGTCTCGCGGCTATACTATTTTTAAAAATAAAACAATAGTATAGCCGCCCGGCTATACTTAAAATTAAAAATAAATAAATAAAATTAGTAAATTAGTATAGTCGCCGGGCTATACTATTAAATGTCGAATATATTGAAAACGCATAGGGCGCTACACTTAAAAATAAAAATGAAAATAGTATCGCCGATCGGCTATACTATACTTTAAAATAAAAATAAAACAATCGTATAGCCGCGCGGCCGTATGTAAAAATAAAAATTAAAAATTAGTCTAGCCGCTCGGCTACACTATTTAAATATTCGAATATATTTGAAACGCATAGCCGGCCGAGTCCGGTTTACCTGTTACCAAAGTTCCTGTGCCCCCTTGTTTACCTGCTAGTTTTGTGACATGTGGCAAGCCACTTAACACCACTTAACTCTGTTAACTCTATGTTAACTCTTTTTGCTTCTTTTTACTATTTTTTGTTGTTGCTTTTTCTCCCTGTTCTGCCCCTTTCTCTCTGGTTTCCCTCTCCCCCTCTCTCCTTCGTCTCCCCTCCTCTCCTTCCTTTTTTGTATCTCTTTTCCAGACCATGGAAGACCATCTTTCGAGCATTGAGTTGGTAGAGCCTCTTAACACAAACAATTAGGATAATAAACATAAGTTTTATGGTTCTCCAAAATGTGGAATGTTGTAAACATAAACCAGAAACTCAGAAAGAAGAGAAATATTACTAACCGTAAATTGCCCCTCTAATGTGGTGATTAATAGTTCCACAAATTCATCGTAAGTGTACTGCTGACCATCAGCTAAAAAGGGTTGCAAGTAATTGTTGACATAATCATTGCTGCCTGAAAAATGAATAGAAAACAGTAAAGAAATTGAGGAAATGTTACAATATCCCCTGAAGAAAATGAGTTGTTTTCATGCAAAAGATATTTCATTTGGGTCATTTGTGCATTAACAGAGTACCAATTCCAATCAAGTAGACGGCTTCACTGCAAACCTTGGCTGCAGCCTCTCCCCCAATCTTAGCCTTGATGGCTTCCTTTGTCTTGTTGAAATTTTGTATTTGATCATCAAAGGACAATCTCTGAATCAGTGGTAGAACCAAAAAAAAAAACTCAATATTTTGCAAAACTCCAGGGTCATAATCTGATAAACAAAAGAAAATTAATATTTTGAAAGAAATGTCCTTACAAAATAGAGTCCAGTGTCATTGAGAATTCCTACCTACGCCACCAGATGCATAATTTACCTTGTAAAAGAGAACAAAAAAGGAAGGAGAGGAGGGGAGACGAAGGAGAGAGGGGGAGAGGGAAACCAGAGAGAAAGGGGCAGAACAGGGAGAAAAAGCAAAAAACAAAACAATAAAAAGAAGCAAAAAGAGTTAACATAGTTAAGTGGTGTTAAGTGGCTTGCCACATGTCACGGAACTAGCAGGGAAACAGGGGGGCACAAGAACTTTGGTAACAGGTAAACCGGACTCTAGCCGGCCGGCTTTACTTAAAAATAAAAGTTAAAAACAGTACAGCCGCGCGGCTATATGTTTTTTTTTACATGTTTTTTTCCTTACTTCAAAGATAATCCGATTCGTGCATCATTTGGCCTTTCTTGAGATGAAGTTGGTTCTATATGAAGGAAAATAAGATTGTTTCATAAAAATAATAGACTAGTTTAAAGGATTGTTGTGGCTTTACTCATTAAGTAATACTAAGAATAATTTATAAAACGTAATAATCTTTCAATTTGATTCAAGAAGTTGACAAGAAAATTTGAATGGTGGAAAAAAAAAATGTCCAACCGAACTATATATTTAATTAGTTGAGGCTTAAACTAAGCAGTTAGGTCTCGTTTGATGACTAGTATTGGATTGGACTAGATAACTCCTTATATTTAAAGCATATGTTTAAGGAACTATTGGAAGTTTGAATGAAGTTCACGGACTTTTGTCCCACATTGGTAGAATGAAGAAAAATTGAAGTCTTTATTAGTGTGGTAATCCCACACTTGATAATTGGAAGTTGGGCGTAGTAGAAGCCAATTGGGCTTCAAATTCGATTTGGGCATTATATGTTATATATATAATATTTAATTATCAAAAGAATGGGCCTTGAGCCTTGGGGTGCTTGGGCACTTCAGATTTAAATTGTAGAAGATGGATTACTCATGAAGAAAACTTATCCCATCTAAACTAGCAAAACTAAATTGACATATAAATCTAATAAATGCATCCTCCACCTATAGAGCATAAGCGTCCTCTAATTCTCAAGAACAATACAATTACATAAAATAAATGGTGCCTCCATTCCAAGGCGAATTGTACTAAACCAATACCAATATGAAGAATAGTATTTGAAATTGCTTACCAACACCAATATGGCATAACCAAAGCATGTTGAAGCAAAAACTCTCTTTGCTGTGGAAGGAAAAAAATCGAAGCGTAATTAGAATACGTGCGGACCTCCTCACTGGCAAGGAGCCATCGTGCTTGTTCTCCATCTTTCTCCATTTTCCTTCGTTCCTCTGAGGCCTAAATTCATCAGCATCAAAAAAACCAAATAAAAACAATGAAAACTGGAGAAAAGTAAAACTGGAGAAAAGTAGAGGTTCAAAGTCACCATCGTCTTCTCTTATGGTGTGTTTACTAATCAGGAATTAGAATTCTCATAAGGAATTGAATTCCACCTATGGAGGATTCATGTGTTTACTTCACATCAAGGAATTAAAAAGTATGTGGGGCCCACGCAAAATTAGGAATTGAATTCATGATTTTGGAGGAATTCAATTATTGGATGGGAGGTGGTATTCTAATTCCTGGAGAACTAACCTATTAGGTATTCATCTTTTTTGCCCATTATATCCTGACACAATTTTAAAATTTTCAAAATTGCCATTTACTTTGACCCAACAATGAGGATATTTTAGTAATTAGCACCACTCTTACCCCAATTCCATATGGTTTAGTAAACAACTTGAATAGGAATCCGGAATCTAATTCTCCTCAATTTAATTCATCCTTAATTCAATTCCTCCAAAGAGGCCTTATCTTAGAACCCTTTCACCCCGTTCACCTTCCTGGCTTGGGTTTCATATCACAGTGTTAGTATGAAAAGTGTATTGTCATTTCCTAGACTCTAGCATAGGTTGAAAATTAGTTTGTGAAGAATTGTTACTGGACGTTTTGGCTCAACTCTTTCAACCACATACTTCCGAGGTATGACTTGACCATATGAGAAACTTGACAATAGGTAAATCATGACATAATCATGCATTCATTATAGGACTCCTAGTTGGAATTATTTTCACACAAGCATTTTTATGTTAATCCTATTTTTAATAGGATTAGTTTTTATCTCTTGATATTATTTTCTACTTGATTTGTCTAATTAAATTATTTAGGTAGATATTGTTTTAGAAGATTGGCCGTAGTGGAAAGTCATTAGGTTTCCTCACATCTTGCATTAGTTGGTGTTATCACATAGCATGTAAATGGAATTAGAATTCATATTGATAATCGAATAAATAGTTGGTTGTTGTTTAAATAGACGTCTGAAAGAAGAGACCTTTTTGCATGATGTTTAAGTGTCCTAGTTGAATTGGCTTTGGGTATCTTTGTTGCAAAGGGAGTGTGGTCACGTGGGTTTCTCTCCAGTGAGAGAAACCTGCATGGTATAAAACCTTTGTTGTTTTCTTTCATCAGTGGCTTTTCATGTTTTAATTTTTAGAGCATATTGAATCTGTTTGTGAAGCAGCTGCTGTGTTTATTTTCTCCAATAAATCATCAAGTGCTCCTTTGTGCTTGGTGACTTATTCAATCCTTTCATCATTCATAATTGCATACATATGCATGTCGGTGACTCATATGGTTGAGTGCACCAAAATCGTTGTGGCGTTTATCCTCCGGTGAGCTTGAAGCAATCGTGACTAGTATTGCGTTCAACATAAGGAGTGTCGAAGATCATCCCGTGACAGAAGTTGAGTTACGAAGAAGTCGGTAAACATTATCTAGAATGTGTTTAGGATAAGTGTGTGAGTACTTCTTGTAATCATCGTTCTATAGTGGATTTGTGTTGGACTGAGGAGTCCCGTGGATTTTCCCCAGAGTTGGGGTTTTACCACGTAAAATAATTCTCTGCGTGTTTCTCTATTTTATGTTCAGCACGTTTCATGAGTGATAAGCCATATCAATCATGCTACCAAAGTTTATTTTCTGTTTATTGATTATAATATTAAATTGGCCTATTCACCCCCCTCTAGGCATTTTTTAGTCATCCTATAGGTATTTTCACACAGTCATGGCCAAAAGAGATGTTCTCACCTACCAACTGCTCCACATAACCAAGTCAGCAGGGGTTGCAATATCCACAATATATAGCATATACATATATGTTTATAATAATAGTAGAAATATAGCAATAGTAGTCTTTGTCATCAGTTTAAGACAATCTATAAGTTATGGCAAGTTTAAATCTCAATTATATATGAAGAGCCAACAATACACATGTACAAAATGTCTGGGCATTTCCTTGAATGCAGTAATGTATTTGGATGAAACTATTTTTTATTCTTACAAAAATGCATTGCAGCAAACATAAACAAATTGGAAAAAAAATAAAAACAACTAACTTCCGACAACAAACTCAGTAAAGAAATAACCTGAGAACCAAACAACAAACTCAATAAAGAAATAACGTAATAAAAAAATACATAACACTTTAAAAATTCGCGATGAAAGAATAACAAAACCCATCATTTCATAAAATGAACGACCAAAGAAACAAATATGAGACTTGTTGCAACATCTCTCTGTTTTCTCTTCAAAGTATTCTCTGCAAAAGAGTGAAGAACAAAAAACGCCACCATGTCATTTGAATTCGTAGAACAAAACCAAATGCATTTATCAAACACATACCATGCGAGTTAACCATGCGAGTAAACACCTACCCTTTTCTTGGAGTTGCAGAAACTGTTGTTCTTGATAACCAATGAAAATGGGGAAATAATAATAGAGAATCCAAATATAAGTTGAATAACAAAACAAAGATGAATTTCTCTTTTGGCTTAACAATACAAACAAAACTTCACCACAAAATTCATCACAAAGCAACAATTAAAACCTTATAAATTAAAGCGAATGAGAATAGTGAAATTGAGAATAAATAAATCTAATGTGTCTCTTACTTGAGTATCTTGTGGCTTTGCTTCGATTGATCCAAAAAAAAAAAGAAGAGAAGAATGAATGGAAGAGAAGAGCGATGGGAAGGGAGCAGAGGGCGTGAATACTTGAAGAGCAAAACTGAAGCGTGAGCTAGCAGAAGTCAAGAGCGTGAAATTAGATGAGGGTATTATTAGAATTAGGAAAGTTTCATTAAACACCTAGCGTCTCCTCAATTTGATTTCTGCATAATCAGAAAATGAAAGTCCACACCTGCTTTCCCTTATAACTTTCTCTTAATAGCTGACCTGCCTCGTCAACAATAGTTTGGGGTTAATTATTGTTTTATTGTTAGTTAGCTGTCATTGAGTTGCTATAAATAGCACTCCCTCTTGTAATCACATTCATTACGAATAGAATCTAATTCTACTTCATCTCTCTCTGATCTTTCTTCTCTCGTTTCTCTCACTCTTAAAATCTAGCTTTCTTAGCTATGCAATCCTCTCTCAGACCAAATACACTTATGACTAGTCAACTGCTAGTCATGAACAACCACAATCAAGAACATACACAGAGCATATCAATATGTACCTGCAAGCCTAGAGAATTACTAGTGACAACCTAGGCACTCAGTATGACCCGTCAATCTAGGCATCCCCTGTGCTAGCAACAACTATGGTGAAAGTATGTGAAAGCATCATAATCAAGTAAGCATCAAACAGCAGAAAAAGATGACTAGTCAACTGCAAGAACACGAACCCAGAAATACATGTGATGACTAGTCAACTGTCAAGAACACAAACCTAGAACAAAGATGACTAGTCAACTGCAAGAACACGAACCCAGAAATACATGTGATGACTAGTCAACTGTCAAGAACACAAACCCAGAACATTCAGATATGCAAACTAGAAATTTGTTCACCCAGAAACCCACCATTGGGAAAAACTGGGGGTCATCAACCGACCAGGCAATCCACTAAGTAGAAAAAGATTCTTACAAAGGAACACAAGCAAGCTCAAGAAAAACCTAGATCTATTTAGGAGGATGAGCTATACCTCCTTTGTGCAATCTTCTTCTCCAACTTAGCAAAGCT